AGCCTTCTGTGACCTGCAAGGAAGGAGCATGGCTCCTTCCAAGGAGTCAGCTGGAGTGTAGCTGACAATGAGGCGTGTGTGAAGCTTTCCTTGGAACAGTGTGGGCACCTGGGGATAAGTCTGCTGCTTTTGCTAATGCAGACCTGTGCAGTGCTACTGTTGCTGCTCTCATGACCCTCCTGCTTTGGTACAGTTTTTCTCTCATGCCACAACAGGACAGAGCAGAACTCAGGGCTTCTCTTGCGGCAGGGCTTCTCTTCTCTCAGGGCATGTGAGGGATGCTAAGGTCTATTCAGAATCACAAATACTGGGAAGTAAAGTGAATAAACATAAGAAGTGCTGTCAGTTCTTTCCACCAAAAATCTAGCAGATGAACAGAGTAAACTCTAATCAGCCATTCTTCTGGGTTAAAAGGGAATTAAACAAGTATATGGCCAAGCAAGCCTCATTTATGAGACAATTCCTGACACAGGCCCATTGCAATCGGCTCTTACCACAGCTTAGGAGATAGGACACTTTTGTCTGATGCAGTCCAGGTTTCACATAGATGTCAATGCCTGGCCAATCTGTGAAAGCATCCAAAGTCCTTTTTTAGGCTTGAAAAATATGCATCTGTAGTTAACAGAGCTGCCTAATTACAGCTTCTTCCTGAAGAAAAATAAATCATTTTCCCTATACCCAAGTCAAACCAGTTAGGGACTCAAATTCAAACTCTGGACCATTTCCAAATGGTCCAGTTTGAAGTACAGAAAATGCTAGGATTTTGAAGCATTGGCTGTACAGACAGAAAAGGAAATGTCTTAATGAGATATGCAAAGCAGCATGGTCTCTGGGATAGGGCACCAGATTGGGATTCAGGAAACCTGGGTTGTTATCACAGCTCTGCTATTGCTTCTTTGCCTTCGTGTGCTTTAGATTCCCTTCTAGCCATCTGTTTGTCTCGGTTACTCAGAGCAATGTACCCAACCTTCCTGTACACCCTTCGCTTGAGAAATTTGGTGACGTTCCACCTCTCACTGTGCCTGACTCCTTCGTCTCTACCCCTAACCCAGCACGTGGGATGATTGTCACTCCTTCATCACCCCCCACCATCAGTTGGAAGCAACTTCCCTCCTTCCTTCCCTCTGCCCTCCGGTGGTGGCTATGCTCCTGCCCCTGGCAGAGCTGGCACTGTGCTAACAAGCCTGTTAGACCTGTCTGACTGTCCAGAGCCACTCAGGTGCAACCTTAACCCCTGTTCCCCATCCTGGCAATGTGAGATGGAGCTCCTTGGACTGGCCTTGCATCCCGAGGAGTTTATGAGCTCATGTCCTGACTGCCTGTACTGTCCTTTCCTCTTTAATTGGAACCACTGATTTGAACGGGGAAGTGTGGATAATGGAGCATAAACCCTTCAGTGCCTTGCAATGGCTAATAGGAGAGGTAAATACTTAGCTGCAGCTGCTCTTGTGTGGGGAGCCTGGTGAAAGCTGGCTGCACACATGAGCATGAGGAGCACTGGTTGCCTGGGAGGCAATCCCTCTCTTGTATGGTGATGCCTCTCTGCTAGAGACCTGTCTTGGACACTCATGCCTAAGGGGCAAAAAGCAGTACTGTCAGGAACAGCCATTTCCCTGTGCTCAAGTGGAAATTATTGTAGATTTAATGATAAAAGCAATGCTGCTTTTACACCACAGCAGAGAGGCTTCCCCAGGCAGTTTTGTAGAAGTACTGGGTCTCAGCATAGCTGTGGAAACATTTGTTAATTCCTTCATATGTCCGTCATCAACTCCCCTTGACAGTTCAACCCTCTGAAAGATTTGCATTTTCCTGTCCTGAGGATCATGGAATCATAGAATTGTTTAGGTTGGAAAAGACCTTCAAGATCATCCAATCCAACCATTAACCTACACTACCAAGTCCACACTAAACCAATCAAGGGTAGACTAGGCTAAACCATGTCCCAAAGTGCCACATCTACCCATTTTTTGAACACTTCCAGAGCCCTGGAAACAGAGCCCTGGGGAACACCGCTCGTGACCGGCTGCCAACTGGACTTAACTCCATTTACAACTACTCTCTGGGCTCGGCCACCCAACCGCCACGTCTGCCCGTTTTTTGAGCGCGATGTGGTTTGTGGTCAAGATCCCAGCGGGTGGGAGTCCAGCAGGCAAATAAAGGCATCGTGTGATGATGAGGGGCAGCTCCAGCCCCAGCCTCATCGAGTCATCGATTAGCTTGGTACAAACAAGGAGTGGCACTGGGGCAGGCGATGGGGACAGGCAGCGCGTATGTTGGCATTACCGGCATCACGCTCAGCGCGCCATGGTGCTGTGGCCTGGGGTCCTCGGCGTG